TTACTTTATTTTTTGGCTTTTGTTTTTATCTTGCCTGCTTTCTAAAACTGTTCTCCACCAGACTCTAACCCTGTCATTGCTGTCAACTCCGCTCTGTGTCTAAAGTCTGCCGACGTACGTGTCGAGCTAAATTGGTAACATCGGAAAAGCCATCAATATGGAGGTAAGTGGTCAGCTGGTAAGCAAGAAAAGGAATGGATTCATACCGCCCCGCTGCATTCATTTTAAAGACGAAATGCATCTGAAACTTACAACGAAATGTACCCGGAGCAACGTTTTTTATATTTTGTAAAAATGAAGGCTGAGGCACAATGAGCTGGGGTTGTCAATGTAAAAATAACCAGCCTGATCTTAATAATAATAATAATAATAATAATAATAATAATAATAATAATAATAATAATAATAATAATAATAATAATAATAATAATAATAATTCCTTACATTTATATAGCGCTTTTCTGGGCACTCAAAGCGCTTTACACATTGGGGGGAATCTCCTCATCCACCACCAGAGTGCAGCATCCACCTGGATGATGCGAAGGCAGCTATTTTGCTCCAGACCGCACACCAGCTGATAGGTGGAGAGGAGACAGAGTGATGAAGGAAATTATGATATGGGGAGGCCATGATGGACAGAGGCCAGTGGGCAGATTTGGCCAGGATGCCGGGGTTACACCCCTACTCTTTTTCGTAGGACATCCTGGGATTTTTAACGACCACAGAAAGTCAGGACCTCTTATTTAACATCTCTTCCGAAAGACGGCGGTTACTGAGCAGTATAGAGTCCCCGTCACTATACTGGGGCATTAGGACCCACACAGACCACAGGTTACTGAGCAGTATAGAGTCCCTGTCACTATACTGGGGCATTAGGACCCACACAGACCACAGGTTGAGCGCCCCCTGCTGGCCTCACTAACACCACTTCCGGCAGCAACCTAGCTTTTCCATGTGGTCTCGCATCCAAGTACTGACCGCGCGCAGCCCTGCTTAGCTTCAGTGGGCGACCATGTGAGAGTTGCAGAGAGCTAGCTGCTTACATAGTAACTGTTATGTAGTACATGCATAGTATACTTAGATTACTGCTGTAATATGTAATATGTCAGTTATGTTTATAATACGTTTATAACAGCTCTTGTGCCCAAAGTTGTTCATATTTATGATTATTTTTATTTATGTAGCACCGTAGTCCAGCAAGACACAACATTTCATTCCACTCTTATGTCCACACATATAGCAGAATGACAATAAACTCTGGACTTGGCTTGAATACAAGCTATTAGGCTAGCATGCTTGTCAAGTGGTGAAACCAGTAACAAGCAATCTTCAAATTGTGATCAGATTCTTCATGCCTCGCTTCAGTTCATTTTTTAATAACGATGAACATAACAATTCCTGAAATTTAATAAATAGTGATTTCAATCCGTCTCCCACTGAACCCAATAAGCAAATGTTTGTGTTTCATCAGCTGAGTTATTGACAAAGAATCACATCAGAGATTCAGCATTTATTCTGGCATACAGTTCACCGCCTCTAAAAGGGAAAATATCCATCACCCTCATACATATCTATAAACTACACTTCCCTCCTTCTATCAATGCAGCTTTTGTGGATTTTGTCTATGAGTTCTCATTAGGTCTTAGAGTATTTAAAAACTATTATGCCAGTCATTTAAGCAGACTACTGGTTTGAACAAACATCTGTGGTATGATTAACAGATTTTCACTTTCTGAATGTCATAGTAACTTTCATTCATTCATTTTCCTTGGGCTTAGTCTCCATTTCAGGGGTCGCCACAGAGGAATGAATCACTAACTATTCCAGCATATGTTTTACGCAGCGGATGTCCTTCCAGCCGCAACCCAGTACTGGAAAACAAACATACATTCTCATTCACACACACACTCATACAAGGGATGTGCACATCCATGCTCGAGTATCGAAACTTAGAAGCTTTCTATTTAGTATTGATATTTTTTTAAAAGTATTGATATTTTAATAATTTCTGTATAACTTAATGTTTTAGCGCTGTCACGCTTTGTATACAAGACCTTACACCAATCCATCTGCTGCGGAACGTGACGTGAGCAATCATGTGCCTTTCAGATAACTTACGTACGCAACACACGCAAGTCAACACGTCTGCATTACGGAATGACAGAGTTAACGCAGCGAGTTGTGGTGCTCATCAGCTGAAAAAGCGATGAAGGAGCAATATTTTTGGAAAGTCGTACACAACAACAATACAAGCAGCCTTTATGAACACTTACAGACAACACAACCTGAAACTTATAAAGCGAAACAAAAACAAGATGTCTAGTGTTCCTCTGCTCAGTCTCCCTCTGTCTGACAAAAGACAATATAGGTGAGTTTAAAAGGAAGCAACCCCCCCCCCCCCCCCAATTCAATGCAATAATTGCTATATATATATATATATATATATATATATATATATATATATATATATATATATATATATATATATATA